CTTTTACTCTCTAATTACTTTAATTAAAACTCTTTATAGTATGTACATTTAATGTTTCTTTTTAATGCAGGGAGGAAGGGGACAAGCTGTTCTCACTGGTGGCCAGCGATAGGACGAGGGGTAATGGCCACAAACTGGAGCACAAGAAGTTCCATCTCCAGGTGAGGAGCAACGTCTTTGCTGTTAGGGTGACAGAGCAGAGGAACAGGCTGCCCAGGGAGGTTGTGGAGTCTCCTACTCTGGAGGTCTTCAAAACCCGCCTGGATGCCACCCTGTGCCACATGCTSTAGGTGTGCCTGCTTGAGCAGGAAGGTTGGACTAGATGATCTGTAGAGGTCCCTTCCAACCTTAAATATTCTGTGAATCTGTGAATCTGTGTACTCTGAAATACATGACCCTGTCTGTTTGGTGGTGACTGGGAACTATTAAATATGTATGTTTTATAAACACATATTGATATATGTTAGGATTAACTTTATAATCATTTCTAAACCAAAATCAAGAGCTGCCTTGCAGGAAGGAAGAAAATAATTATAATTGATTATACAAAACATTCTCTCCTGTTTCATTAAGAAAAAAAGAGAAGAAAAATTCAAAGAGCTTGAATATCTGAAGGCTATGGTTTGCACTCTTCTTTGCTTCAGTCTAGAGTAGGCTCTTCCTTTATTGTTTTTCTGAGGTGGAAGAAGGAGAGGTTCAGAGGGTGATGGGAGAAAACCAGTACTTCCTGCTTGATAATAACTGAAAATGGTAGTCTTACAGGGGCATGCAACAGAAACGTAGAGGAATCATGAGAAAATGATTCCTGGGCTCACATTTTACTCTCTCTTCCTTGGTTAACTGGAATTTTAACTCTCATATTTAAATATACTTGAAAGATCAGTGTATTTAAGGTTAAACCAACAGATGTGAGAGTAGTAAGAGTACTAATTGTACTCTTGGTATCTGTTGGTACATCTGTACCAACAGATGTGAGAGTAGTAAGAGTACTAATGAAGGTAAATTGAAGGATTTTTCTTTCCCTCTCCCAATCCCTGTATATAAGAGTGGTACCAGAATTCAACTACTGATATAGAAACAGGGGAGTGTACAGCCATTATTCAGTGGAGGCAGACAAAAGCTGCTTTAGGAACAGGTGTATGGACAGCAGCAAGGTAGTGTTATCAAACCCTGTTCTCCACATTACAATAGTTGTGAGTAAGGAAGGACTCTGCTACAGACCCTATTCTTTTATTTCAGAGTAACATTTGTTTTTCTAGCTTCCCAATGTACCGTATGAACTGCTCTGTAATATATATACACATATATTTCTCTGTACAGAAAAAAACATACTTGCAGATGCTCTTTTGTTTTTGTTTCTATATACTTTTTTTAACTATTATTCATATAATTTGTTCTTCTCTGTGAAAAGCTAAAACAAAATCAGAAGATTACAAGTATCATATCTACCTATTAAGACAGACATAAATGTACTAATCTGCTTTATGACAAATGCAGGTTTATTTTAAAGAATTTTGCAAAGGCCATGACTATGATTGCTCGTCTTGAATCTCAGTCATAAAGGCTTTTGTTAAAATACCACTCCTCATTCATTGCCTTTAGATGAGAGAAGTAAACAATGACTATATAACTATCACTATGTAACTATTGTAAACAAAGGCTATATATATATATAAAAGAGATATATAACTCTTCAGTACTGAAAAAACAGAAGGCTGAAGTATATTGTCCTTCCTACCATATTTCAATTTAAACATGGCTGCACTGCAGTAATGCCACATCTTGTTTATTGTGTGGATTTGGTGGGTGACAGGGATCATTACATGGGAAACATTGAGAAAAATGTGTTATACACTAGTCATAACCATAAAAATAACTAAAAAGAAAGAGACAAACTGATGCACATGAAGCCTCTATAATAGAACAGAAGAATAGAATTGAACTGAAAAAATGTACAAAAAGCAGTAACTTTAGAAGAGCATTGCCAATGTACTAAATTGTCAAGTTGGAGTCAAATGATATTACTGCTGACACCTCTGGCTATAGTACATTGCTTTTGGATTCAGTTTTTCCACTTTTCTTTCATTGTTGCAGTAAAGGCATTTCCCTTGTGCTTTGATTGTTGAGATTATCCTCTTTGATATAGATTTCCCTTTCCTTTTCTTGTCCTACTTATTTGTACCCTAGCATGATGGGTAGATATACCAACTTCAATAGACATCTCATTTGTATATGCTTTTACTACCAGTTGGGTGGTACCTCTCTTCACCTATATAAATTGAATAATTGTGAACAAAGGTGCTAGCCAGCTACTGCATTTTACAGCTTTTCAAAGCACAGGCATCTATTTGTAGCTTTGAAAAACCCAGGTTTCACATTATAAGTTTGAAGCAACTGGAAAATACCCCAATTTTCAAGATTCAAAGGAGAAATGAGCACACCATCATTGGAGTCAACATTATAATACTAAATTCTCCTAGGTAGTCAGTATTGCTGCCCATATTAACATTTTCCATGCTGCAAGTGAGTCTAGAACACATGTGATGGTACCTACCTAGTAACTTAGTTATTAACCATTTATATAACATTTATAACACGTTAGTCCTACCTAAGGTTTGCAATTAGAATGGGCCTGAGTGTACTTTGTCTCAACAAGTTAAAAGTTATCGGAGAGCTTCTGTGCCCATCTGTGTTCTGCAGTGTGGCCGATCAGTTCAGGGATTCAGATGGGTTTCAATGGCAAATCAAAATCTAATTGGCCAAAAGAGAAGCAATAAAATATCTGCAAGGTTGATTCGTAACCAGGATGCACAATCCTTCTATGACTACAAATATTAATATTAGGAACTTAAGGAAAAATTTCTTAACAATGAGGATGACAGAACACTGGAACAGGTTGCCCAAAGAGGTTGCAGAGCCCCTTTCTCTGGAGATCTTCAAAACCCGCTTGGACACAATCTTGTGCCATATGCTCTGGGTGACCCTGCATGTGCAGGGGGTTTGGACTAGATGTTCTCTAAAGTACCTTCCAGTCTTAAGGGTTCTATGATTCTATGAGATCTGAAAAAGAATTAATAAATTGAAGGAATCAAGAAGGTCATTAGATAGAGCACAATTATGGCATGAAGGGTTCTGTAGTTAAACCTAATTTACTTGCTGTAAACTCCATATCAACCTGGCTTTTCAATATCCTATGCTGATGTATAGCAAATCCTTACTGTGGTATCCTGATCTGGCAGTCTTGGCTATAAGCTTGATTCTCTGTTGTAATATGAGTGGAAAGTAGCAGAAGATACTGCACAGCCAGAACAGGGAGCAGACAGTAATACAGGCCCTGTCCTTCATTAAAGCTCTTCAACGTAATTATTTTCAAGTTGTTTTGTCTTTTTACTGCTCCAAGTAGAGAAAGAAAATCAGAATTATTGAACAAATAGAAGAGCTTTAGATGTTTAGGAGATCAGTGAATTGACTTGTCAGAGATAACTAATTTGTTAATTCCTGGAAAAAGTAATCCTATATCAGTCTCTTTCTTTCTTTTATTTTTTTTTCTCTTGAAGAATTAAGGAATTAATTCTTACTCTTACTTGTTCATAATTTGAGTAAAATATTGGAAATCATTTAAATTCTTACTCTTACTTGTTCATAAATTATTAAATTCTTACTCTTACTTGTTCATAATTCGAGTAAAATATTGGAAATCATTTAAATAAGCAGCAATTGTAAGAATGGCTACTTGCTGCTGAACCACCCTAAGAGAGGAAGAGAATTAACCAGTAGCAGTGCTGATACATTTTTAAGCTAGGCAATAGTTAGCTTAGAGACACAGAACTGTCAGATAGAGATGGTCGTCAAATTTTATTCCTGTTATTACCGTGACTATATTCTATATAACCTTGTTCATGCAATTGTTGAGACAATCTTAAAAATAGTCTATTGTATCTCTTATTGATATACTTCAAATATAATTTTATGAAAGGTTACTGATGATACTCTAATTTCCAGGTGGTATATGCTACTGGCATGGTTTATAAATATTTTTCTGTCATTGTCATCATTGTTTTCAAGTAAACAGCTCCTCTCCCTCCTTTATTTATTATTTGTCTTCATTCTTAGTATTTTCTCATTTTTGAAAGAGTGAATAAACTAGACTGTAATTCATTAGACACTGTGTCAAGAAGCATAGCTTTCCAAGATTCCTCTGAATATTGTAGTCTTCAGACAGGCTAATGGTTACATTCTATGGAGATAAAACTAGTCCTGGTAGTTAAATAATTATGTTTATGAGCTTTTTTTTTTTTTTTTTCCCCCTATCTTGACTGTGGATATTTTCATTTTTATACATCTAATATTGCACACCCTTAAACCATTTTGATTTTCACAATTTTTTTTTTCTGCCAATTAGTTATCGTCTCCAATAAGATTAAGGCCCTGCAGTATTTGGTGATGTTTGCTCTGTAAATAAACTGTAGTATGCACACAGACAGTGAAAAAGCCTTTCCATTTTTTGATTACTTGAATTTGATACACATGTTGTTCTACAATACCTGAGGAACACCAGAATGATAGGCCCTTTAGAAGCATGTTGTGAAAATACCAGAGGACAAAATACATAGAGACAGACATGACTTGGCACAATTTATTCCTGCATTTAACTGAACTTCGTGAAAATGCACTAACCACCAGTTCCTTTCTTCTTTCTTCATTTTTATTTAAATCCTTTGTCTTTTATGTCTTATAAAACATGTCTTATCTTTTTTTTTTAATTAAGTTATATATTTTCTTATACTTACCTTGTCGGCCTTTTAGTACTGAAAAACCCTGAAATGCTTCTCTCCATAATACTTCATTAGGAAAGGACATATTAAGTATTTTTCTTTCCTTCATAGAAGTGGTGACCAAGTCTTCAGAGGTCTTAGGGAAGAGCTGCCAAAATGCTCTAGATACAAACTTCCAAAGTCTTTAAGATCCAAACCTCCAAAGTATTCCAAAGATGGAACTGAGATGCCTATATTAAGGACAACACCTTGTAAAAATATTATTAACTGCTCAGGTAATTCTGCTATCTCCTGTCAATGTTATTTGTATTTCTCATCCCAGTTGCCTTGGAAATAGTTTCAGTCATTTTCAGATCCTCCTCTTGTTTGTGGACCTTGGAGAGCACAATTCCTCCCTGGTACTGGGATCTATAGACCATTACTCAAAAGATGGATATTGCATCTACACTCTGCTTCTCTATTTTTAAAAGGCATCAGAGAGCTGGTAGCCTATTCCTAGAAAGGAATTTTGGTCAGAATCAACATCCAGATTCATCTATTTCCTGGGTAACTTTTACCACCTGGGTGGGTGGTCTCATCTTATGAACTGCAGACTAGGAGATTATTTCTCTTCATTTATTGCTGAGTACATCTAGTACTTGAATTAGCATTGAGAAAACTCCTAGATAAGGAAATGTTGGTATTTTAGCAGAATATGATGGTCAGTGACTAATACCTTTGTTTGTATCCCTGCACACAAAGATAAACAATCTCTTATGAATCACCTTTATATTTTCATAGCTGAAATGTAACACATATCCAGGACACAAAAAATATGACTTACTGAAGTATATTTTTAGTCTGAAATATATTTGTAAATATACAAGCAGTTATATTGAATGAATAAAAAATGAGTTTCCAGATACAGAGTTAGAGGAGATAGTGATCTTGTAAATTGCTACCAATTGTGTAAGGTAACCTTTCAGCCACTTCTAAGTCATTCTGTGGCATGGAAGCTACACTAGAGAATGTATAGTGCACACAGTGAATGTATAAAATCTAATTTCTATTATAAAAGTAGTCAGACCAGATTATGAAAGGGAAAACTATTGCAATAGGGAGAGGCCTACCAGTAATGAGGGATAAGAAAAGTAACTTAGTAACAGCTTTTAAAGGAATGGAGAACAGACCTAAGAAAAACAAACAAATTAATGTAATATTACCAGTTCTATTATTATTAGTGGTATAAGACTGACAGTACTTGATATTTTTTACTTAAGGTCCCAAATGTTGTCATGAGAATAACTGTATGAGAATCTCAGTTTCTCCTATTTTAAAAATTTATATTTGTAGTGTTAGGTGATTGTATCTCTGGATTCTGAGAAACACGTAACCTCTCAGAAAAAAGATGTTAAGATTTTTAACCTCTGTTTTAGCTGATATTTTAAAAGTATTTGCTATGGATAATGTACATTAATTTCAAAATTCTTATTACTAGAAATCATGTTTTTAAAAAATACTGATAGAATGAATATGTTACTAGATTACAGAAAATTTTATAATCACTTTTCAGTGTGCATCCATACCTTGTGATATTTATTGATGAAGTGTCAGCACTGACATTTTCTACATGTTAAAAGAATGGTCTTACCCCTTAGACTGATAGAGATCCTAAAAAGACTAAAACTTCTGAATTTTCTCATTCATGGCACTATTGTGATGCTTATGTAAGTGTTTTAGTATGGCAAGTAACTCTGGTAAATATTTCTTCTTTTTTTTGTCAATGTCAGTTGGTGCCTGTGAAAACCCGTGGATATCTGAAAGGGAAAAGACGTGGTAAGCTTAAGTATAATAGTAACTAATAAACTCACCCCATTTTAAACATAAAGAATATATCTCTGGCTTTATGTTGAAATTAATGGAAGTCTTCTCTATGTTCACTCCTCAACAATAGTGGGCATATGAACTGTCAGTCTTAGGGTGGTTTTTGCTCTGCTTAAAGTCTGATGCAGTTTCCTCCCCCATTAGTCTAGCTCTTTCCAACTTGTCTTATTCTGAACCTGTAAAAGAAACAAGAATTAAGCTTTGCTATTGCTGAAAAACTCGTATTGAGATAGTGGACACCTGGCTGTATTCCCTTAGTGTGATGGCTATCACTATTTCCAAGCATTCTGTCTGTGTTAGCCTGCTTAGACACCTTTGAATAGCTAGAAGGGCTTTCTAACATCATACAAATTAATCCAGCCTGGGGCTGGATTAGTAGCAGCAATGGACGGCATAGAAGGGTTTTCAGGAACATAGCCATCTACATCTTGACAGCTTTGCTGTACTTCCAGTAGTTTATTAAATCTTTAAAAAACTTTTAAAAAGACTGTCAAGATGTTTCATCATTTTTTATTCTTATGCCATTTTTAGTAAATTTATTGCACATGAAAAAAGACATCCCTAGGCATATCCCAGGAGCACTAGGGCAAGGTTCCTTGCTCTCCTGCCAATATGTTTCTGTCATGCCCTGGAGGTAGCACCTGGATCGAGATGGTAGTTCTATTCTTCGTTTAGTTGGCTTCTTGACTGACAGTATTAACTAGCATGCTAATTAATGTTGAGAGAAGTGGATTTTTTTTTATTATGTAGAGACATTTTGTTTCACTTTTTTTAATTAACTATTATTTATAATATTATTTAGCATTATGCAACTGAAATATGTTTTCTTAGCAATTGATCACATGCATGTTCTGCTTTATGATTATAGGGCTGCTTGTAAGTGTAAGGCTGCTAGTAGAATGATTGTAATATTATGTATTTTAGATAAAAATGCATTGGAGTGTTTGGAAACCAAAAAAGGTCCAAAAACTTTCCTAACAACATTACTTTTCACTTCCAGACAGTAACTAGCCTGTGAACATGATCTCTTTTCTCATGTATTTGTGGATACTTTGCTAACAGAACTAGAGCGGTTGCTACTTGTAAACCATTAATATTTTTGTTAACTTTACAACCTTGAAACAAGTTCAGGGCCAGATGTTCTTTCAAGTGACAAGGTATCAATTTCTTATTTATCTTTTATTGTTTTTGCTCAGACAGAAACCTGAAAAATAAAATGATGTTATGATGTTTTTCCATAGTGATTCTACAATTTCAGTTAGAAATAAAACTGAATTCCTTATGGCTAGTTTATCTTTGGCAATCTAGAACTTTACTATAACCCTCAGTAAAAGCAAGGGTATTTTGATTAGCAGTCTTTGGCTGTTAGACTTGTTACTTAGGTTTTTAGTATCCAAATCAACTGACTGTTTTCATTCACCTAGAATTTTGTTACTGTTATGAATAAGTGCAGGACAGACAATTAAGTACCTTTGTTGAAACAGTAAAAATTTTCAACTGTTGTAAAATCTCTTTACAAAATGTTTAAAGTGTAGAGAGGAGTGGGGAGGAATAACATTGGTAATGTTTTTATGTAACTTTTGTCGTGTACACATAAAAAAGGCAGCACAAGCTTTCCCCTAATGTTTGCATAATGCCCGGAGGCTGGGAAGCATAAGAAAGGAGATAAATGGAGAAGGAAGAATGCAAATTGCCTACAAGGCAAGCTGATGGTTCATGATTCTTGCCCTGACTTTGATCTAGTCATATTAATGAGCATGTTTGCAAAGCTGAGAGGAGTTCTCTGCTTGCAAGACAAATTCAACTGATATTGTGCATGCAGGTGTGCATGAGAAGGAATGGCAAAATAAGTCCCCTAGAATATGTGTGTTCTTCCAAAATCTATTAATCATTTCAGTCTAATAACTCAGAGCACTGTATTTGCATATCACTTCATGAAATACAAGATCAGTTTTGAAATATAACACTTAAACTCAAGAGGAGGAGAAGTTCCTGAATATGAAGTACAGCGGGACAAGCAAATTTCCGCAGAAGAAGCAAAACAAAGTAGCCGCCAGTGAAAGTAGGTCACAGTCTTTCACTTGAGTTATCCCAGAAGTGGAAGAGTGCTGGTCTGTTGGTGGAAGTAACTGAAACTACCTAAAAAAAAATCAATTCAAGAAAAATAGCAGCTTCATTGATATGTATAATCATAAGAATGCTGGTTGGAAAACCTCTCTTTGGCTTTAGCATAAATACAGCTACTGATCCTCTTGGAATGCAACATTTATGATTTCAGTTAGGGTTGAAGAGCCCTAATTAAGGTACTTGTGAGCAGCTAGCACTGTCATGATTTCTACAAGAATTCCATTATCTGATTAAGTGTGAGGGGTGCTTCATATATGAGGCTCATTAGCTGCTGTACTCCTTCCTGTACAGAAATACAGCAAATCTGTCCCTTAACTTATTAGGCACTGATGACCAATGTGTTCTGCAGACTCTCGTCAGAATATCATATGATAGGTATCCACCTGAAGTCTGGAGAAACTTATTTCAGAGAGTAACAGAATAGTTTGGTTTAAAAGGGACCTTTGGAGATGCGCAGAAACCCCGTAAGCCTCCTCTTCTCCAGGCTAAGCAGCCCAAGCTCTGGTCATGCTCTTACTGCAACTCAGAACACTACTGGCTGCTTCTCCCCAAAGACCTGGTTCTCCACCAAGACCCTCTTGTCTTTCTTGAAAAAACTGATTTCCAGATGGTCATCTACCTGCCTGGTGCCTGGCATAATTCCTCCTCAGGTGCAGGGCATGTCATTTCCCTTTGCTGAACTTCATGAGGTCTTTTTCTGTCCATCTCTCCAGCCAGTCAAGGTCCTCATTCTGACATCACAGACCTCTGGTGTACCACTTGTTCCTCCCAGTTTTGAAGAGGTGAGTAAGAGTAATCACAGCTGAGTAAGCCTAGCTGCTCTATTGGTTTCCTACCTCCATGCTGTCCATTTCTGCCTCTAAGACAATTATCACATTTCATTGTAGCAGGCTACGAAGTTGGTTAAATGGATCTGCTTTTGACATACGTTTTGAGGAAACAAATATGACTTCATATGTATGTGAGATGGCCAGGAAAACCCGAGCTTTTATGGGGAGTGTAAGTTCCAGTCATAAGACAGGAAGAAGAATCTGTGCAATAACTTATCAGGTTCAAAGGCCTAAGTGGAAAGTATGTATATATGCATTTATATACTTGACATAGAAAGGAGAAAACAGGAGTGAAGTTGTGCAGGAATGGAATTATATGATGTTTGCTTGTTATTTTTTGCTGTTATTGTTCATACAATTTATAGTAATTTATATTGATTCAATACAGATATTTATGCCAATCCAACAGCTAAAAGCAGAAAAGGTACAAAGCACACAGAAAATTATATCTGTTCATAGTACAGATATAATTTTCTCAGCCTATTCTTCACTATGTAACATAAAAGAAAAATTCTACCAAAAAAATCTCATATGATCATCTAATAATCCTAACATGACTATAAAACAGAAGTAGAGAGAAAATATGTGCATTTGAAACACCATCTGTAGAAACAAGTCAAATATTGCTATTTCTTAGCTTTCAGGTTCTTTAATTTGAAATAATTCTAACATTTTTAACTTGTTTTTTATCAATACATATATAGTATTAGCATGGCTGCATTTACTTTTTAAAATACTGGCTTTGAAAACTTTCTATCTTTTCTTAGTGGTTATTTGTACCATTACTCTTATTGAATTTCATGGTGTTAAAAATCATATTTAATAAATTTGATTTTTTAATTTCTCCTTACGTAATAATAAGTTTGGGTGGAACAAGGTACACAAATGTGAATGCACCTGTAGTCTCGCATTACAGAACATGTTTACTAGGTGTTCTATCACCCAGAGATATCCAAATGAAAACCTGTAAAGTTTAGAAAAAATTTTATATTAAATAAAATACCTCAAAATCCAGCAAACCTAATAACTTCTGCTTCTGTATACACCTAAATTATGCAGAAACCAAACATGCTAGTTATACCTTCTTAGGTATTTAATTTAGATTTCATAGTCCTGCAGGCAGTCTATTAAGAAAACATTTAATATCAGCTAACTGACAGAGCTATGAACTGCATAACTGCACAACTTTAAACCACAATATATGGCTTTAAATATGAAGAAGCATTTAAAATGCAATCATTATCTTTATGAAATTGAAATAGTCCTTTTCTTTGAATAGAGCACTTTTCTTTGAATAGAAGTAACTTAGGCTTACTATCATACAATGAGAAAATATTAAATCTAATTTCTCTTTCACAGCAAGTAGGAACGTCTGGAAAGAGGGTGGCTACTAGATATTTCTCCTGTGATTTTGCTTTTAGTTGCTCTTACGAATAGCTAATTGTGTGACAGACTTTATACTCAACAATGTCTTCGAGAATATGGAAATCCTTCAGATATCTGCTGATGGTAGATATTGTCTGGATAGTGACTGAGAATCATTTTGAAACAAAGACCAGTAAGATCATTAGATTATTAAGATCATTAGAAGATCCTTAAAATCAGTACATTTTTGAAGAAAGGGGTTAGAAAGCATAGATAGATTAACATAGACTCTTTCAGAACAAGCACGCACAAGCAAAAAGCTAGGGCCTGAGCCTTGAAATGTATCTTCCATGCTCAGTGATGAAAAGCAGTATGACAACAATAACTTGAACTCTGCTACCACTCAAATAAGTATCAGAACTAGTATTTACATTTGCTACCTTTTGGTCCCTAGAGCTTTCCGTGCTCATGATGCCACCTGCTAGCAGATCTGTGAATTGTACCAGGCTTAGGCAGGTGGTCATCCAGAGGCCTTTTTAATATCACCAAGAGGAATCACCAAGGCAGACATGTGGCGGAAAAAAAAAATGTATTATATTTAAATATACAAATCTGTGAATTAATATAGAACTCCCCAAGACTGGCTATGAAGCTACTAAGGTACTGGGAAAGAGAGTATTATGGTTAAGTTTGGTCTTGATGTACATGATGTATGGAACATGGCTACGGTTCTGGACCTACAGGTGAACTTGGAGAGAAATTCTGAAAAGCATCATTCCAGTTTCTTAAGCAATACAGGATAACCATTTTGAGAACAAAAGGGATACGTTCAACATAGTTGATCACATTTCTTTGTTAGCCTCATATCTATAAACTAAATCTGTTTTATATGCTTAAAATATAATAGCTTCCAAAACCTCATCAGGATTAATTGCAGTATTTTCTCAACGTATCCTTTGCTTCACTTTTGTTGCTAAACAACAGTAAAATTAAAACAATAAGATTGCCAGGGTGATGAATCAAAGACTATTTGAATGATTTTACTTTCGGAAAAAGGTGGGGAACAAATTGAAATGATCTCTTTTTATATAAAAATCATCAGACTTAAAATCTCTGAACACAGTGACTTTTATCTTTAAAAAGATACTAATTATTAATGTATCTCTAAACAGATTATAATTATTCTTCTGAGTAATTTATATTGCATTTTCATCATGAAAAAGCTCACAAAGCTGAGTGGTAATATAGTGTCTCTTGTTGTGTCATAATAATATTGCTGTTATTAATCTTTACCTTGGCAGCTGCTGAGTTTAAAAGCATGTCTAGGAAATCTATGAATAATATGTGTATTCAGAAAGATAGACATCCATCGTAATCTGTGTTTCTTTTGGTATAAGTATTATTGAGTTGCAAATTAAGTTATAAATTAAAGTGAGTCATTAACTACAAATTGAATTATAATTTGACTACTTTATAGCTTGCATTATATCATACTTCATTTTAGTAAACCTTTTGGTTTTGTGGGTGCAAGGTCAGCTCCATCTTACAGAAGGTCTGCAAGAATTTCTCCTTGAAAGAGGGAGTCTTACAAGGACAAAGTTCAAAATGCCTTCCTGACTTTTCTTATAAGCTAAAACTAAAGGAAAATAACTCTGTATGAAAAAAAAAAATCCCTCTATTTCTAGGTGCACTTATGAAGATTATAAAATCAGCTTTCTGTTCCTAAACGTACTGATGGTCTATTGGTGTTCTGATTTCATCTTACATACAGAGTAACATATTTCAGAAGCATGGCACCATAGTTTCTAAGCACTTTTATGTCCTTTTGGGTTCCCATTGAAAGTATCTATACTCATTTAAATTCAGCTGAATATCAAGTATGAAGGTAACTTTACTTGGCCACGTTCCAGAAGAACACTTTTAGTCTGTTCCAAAATAACAACAAAAAAGAGAAACAACTACATTCAGGTCATGTCAACGAAAAACTTAAAGTCTCTAAAGCATCTCATCGGGTTTTAAATTTCATCCTCCATCAGCCAAAAAAAAAAAAAAAAAAAAAAAAAAAAGTTTTGTTTCCATTTTATTGTTGTTTCACCTGGAATGAAGTCTTTCCACTCCTTGACTAATCAGGAGGTGTACAATAACTTCCCACATTCCTATTTTTCCATTTACAAGTTAATATAATTTTAAGTTATAATTACATGGATCATGTTATTGTTATGATCTCTCAACAGCAGTTAGGAGGCTTCTAGATCTTCCTCACACATTTGTGAGAAACTAAGATTGTGCAGCGTACTCAGGTTATGTAGTATGTATTTGCCATGGAGAGTATAGGATAACTTACAAAAAGAAATTTAGTGATCAGGATGATAGTTTTTTCTTTTTATCACCCTTAACTAGCTCTTCCACAATAAGAACTCTTCCACATTTTAAATGTGTATCTCTTCAATGCGGATGTGGAAAGAAATGCTACTTTTTGAATATATAAATATAGCCATTGAGAAGGTATGTTAAAACTTCCCAAGTTATTTTTCTGCCTTTCATGTTTCTTTTAAAATATATCTGATGTAAGAATACGTGATGTTTATAGAAAAAATTATCTCACACTTAACATGTACTTATGCCTTACAAGAATTGCTATTGCATGCTTCTGTCAAATGCTTTAGTAACTGCTTGTTTTAAATCTCATATATTTTGAACAACATTGTGAGTATTTACTTTCATCTGTGTATAGAAGCTAATTTTATTTATTTTATTGAAAAAACTATACTGATTTTGCATTCTTCTTGTGTATATATATGTGTGTAGGTAAATGTGCAAATACATGTAGATCTTGAAGGCTTATTTTTAATTTGCTTACACCTTAGTGATAAAAAACATAAATATTAATTGATCCATACTTGAAGAAACAGATGTGCTAAGCAGGATAGACATAGATTTCATTGGATTTTTTATTATTTTTATTTCTCTCATTTATGAGAATAATTCAAGGAATACTCTCATATTTGTCTATGACCTTAATTATGAAAACTGTTGTTATGGTAAAAATGATTATTATGTTGATTATAAGACACAGTATGGGACCCAAAATAAAATCTCTATTTTAATTTCTTTTTTTCTTCATTGAGAGACTTACAATTCACTCTCAGCTTTCTATCAGCCAATTTGCTTGGCTTCAATGAAGTATAATTAGATCAAGTGGAGTATAAAGGTATACATGTACAAAAAATGCCATTTATACAAAACACAAAACTGAAGACCAGATTGTATTTCTCCCTTCTCCGTGGACCCAGGGGAAAAGGAAAGGAACAGTGTTTCTTCCTTAATGGCCACAAATACAGATTAAAAAACAAAACCCAAAGGAGAATAATTTCTGAAGTTAAACTTCCTAATGAAATACTGCTGAAGAATTTTATTTTACAATGGTTTGATTTATAAGAATTGCTCTTATTTCTCTCTTCCCAAAATATTAATGATATATAAAGATGTCTGGAAGATGTAGAGAGAAATATTTAACTAATTTCAACAGAATTAAATTTATAGACTACTATGATAACTAATTTGTTAGTAAAAAC